AACATTAGTAAATATTTATACACCTATCATAGGACCCCCTAAATATATAAAGCAAATATTAAAGACTTAAAGGGAGAAATGACAATATAATAATAATAGTAGTAAGGGGTTTTAATACTCCACTTTCAACAATGGATAGATCATCAAGCGGCACCTGAGTGGCTCAGTCGATTAAACATCTGGACTCTTGATTTTTGGCTCAGATCATGATCTCACAGTTTGGATTTGAGCTCTGTGTCAGGATCATTTATATCAGCTTGGGATCCTCTCTCACCCACTCTCTATACCCCCCCACAGTGAAATTTAAAAAATAATAATGGGCAGATTATCCAGACAGAAAATCAGTAAGAAAACATTGGACTTGAACTTATACATTAGCTCAGATCACCATAAGAGACGTTTAAAAAACGTGGCACTCAACTGCAACAGAATATACATTCTTTTCAAATATATACAGAACATTCTCCAAGACAGATCATATGTTAGGGCAAAACATATGATCTTGAGAAAATGAAGATGAAACAGAAAATACCAAAACTTATGGGTACAACAAAAGCATTTCTAGGAAGTTTGTAGTGATAAATACCTACACTAAGAAAAGGAAAGATATCAAATAAACAACCTAACTTTACACCTTAAGAAACAAGAAAAATAAAGTAACCCCAAAGTTAGAAGAAGGAAATAATAAAGATGGTAGTGGAAATAAATGAAATGTAGGTTAAAAAGACAACAGAAAAAGCCAATGAAATGCAGAACTGATTTTTAAAAAGGTAAAATAGATAAGCCTTTAGATTTAACATTAAAAAATGAGGAAGGATGCAAATAAATAAAATACGGAATTGAGGGGCACCTGGGTGGCTCAGTCAGTTCAGCGTCCGACTTCAGCTCAGGTCATGATCTCAAGGTTTGTGGGTTCGAGCCCCGCGTCGGGTTCTGTGCAGCTCAGACAGCTCAGAGCCTGGAGCCTGCTTCAGATTCTGTGTCTCCCTCTCTCTCTGCCCCTCCCCTGCTCACACTGTCTCTCTCTCTCTCTCTCAGAAATAAATAAAACATTAAAAAAAAATACGGAATTGAGAGTGGAGACATTCCAACTGATACCAGAGAAATACAAAGGAGACTAGTATGAACAATCAGACACCAACAAATTAGACACCCTGGAAGAAATGGACAAATTCTAGAAGCATACAATATACCAAGACTGAATCATGAAGAAATAGAAAATCTGATCGGACCAATTACTAGTAATGAGACTAAATCAGTCATCAAAATCTCCCGACGAAGAAATCCAGGGCCAGATGACTTCACTGCTTAATTCTACCGATCAGTTAAAGAAGAATTAATAGCAACTCTTCTCAAACTCTTCCAAAACAGTAGAAGAGAACATAACACTTCTAAACCCATTTTACAAGGCCAGCATTACCCTGACGCCAAAGCCAGATAAGGACACTACAAGAAAAGAAAATTACAGGTCAATATTTGATAAACATAAATAGGAACACTCTCAACAAAATATTAGCAAACCAAATTCAACAGTTTAATTAAAAGGATTTAAAAAATAATGACCATTATCAAATGAGATTTAATCCAGAGATGCAAGGATGGTTCAACATCCATACATCAACACCACATTAACAAAAAAAGGGATAAAAATCATATTGTCATCTCAAGAGACACAGAAAAAGCATTTGACAAAATTCAAAATTCCTTCATGTAGAGACTTGGAACAAATAGCACATAGAGGGAACGTACTTCAACATAATGAAGGCCACATATGACAATCCCATGGCTAACATCATACATCATGAAAAGCTGAAAGATATCCTCTAAGATCAGGAAGAAGATAAGGATGCTCACTCTCACCACTTTTATTCAGCATACTGTGGAAATGCTAGCCAGAGTAATTAATCAAGAACAGCAAATAAAAATCCAAATTGGAAAGAAAGAAGTAAAATTGTCTCTATTTGCAGAGACAAATGCAGAGACAAACGATATACCAGAAACCCTAATTCTGCTAAACAACTATAAAAACTAATACATGAATTCAGTAAAGCTGTAGGATACAAAATCAATACACAGACATCAGCTGCATTTTTATACATTAACAATGAACTATCAGAAAGAATAATTAGAAAAACAATTCGATTTACAATTGCACTAAAAAGAATAAAATATTTAAGCAAGGAAGTGGAAGATCTATAATTGGAAACTATAAGACACGGATGAAAAAAACTGAAGTAAACACAAAGTAATGGAAAATCTTCTGTGCTCCTAGGTTGGAGGAACTGGTATTGTTAGAATGCCCATACTCCTCCAAGCGACCTACAGATTCAGTTCACTCCCTCTCAAAATCCCAATGGCATATTTTTAGAGAAATAGAAAAACAATCCTAAAGTTTGTATGCAACCACAAAGATCTGAGAGGCAAACCATGAGAGACTCTTGAATGCTGAGAACAAACTGAGGACTGATGGATGTAGAGGGGGAAGGGGGGAGATGGGCATGGAGGGGGGCACTTGTGGGGATGAGCACTGGGTGTTATATGGAAACCAACTTGACAATAAACTATTTGTAAAAAATTAAATTAAAATAAATAAATAAATAAAAAAGATCTGAATAATCCAAAGCAGTTTTAAGAAAGAAGAATAGGACTAGAGGCATAACATCCTGATTTCAAACTATATTACAAAACTATAATCATCAAAGCAGTATGGTACTGGCATAAAACAGACATGTTAGGTCAATGGAGTCATTAGCAGTCAATTAATTTCCTAGAGCTAATTTTCTTGAAAACCCAGAAATAAACCCATGCATTTGTAGTCAATTAATTTTTGACAAAAGGGCCAATAATATACAATAAGAAGTCTAGTCTCTTCAATAAACTGTGTTAGGAAAACTGGATACCCACATGCAAAAGAAGGAAACAAGACCCCATTTTATATTATATGCAAAAGTCAACTCAAAATAAATTGAAGACTTGAATGTAATACCTAAAACCATAAAACTCCTGGAAGAAAACGTAGAAGGTAAGCTCCTTGACATTGATTTGCGCAACAATTTTTTTTGGCATTGACACCAGAAGCAAAGACAACAAAAGCAAAAAGAAACACCTGGGTCTATATCAAAGCAAAGAGCTGCTGCTCTGCAAAGGAAGCCATCATCAAAACAGAAGACAATCTATGGAAGAGGAGAAAATATTTGCAGCCCACATATCTGATAGGTGGTTAATATCCCAAATATACAAGGAACTTGCACAACTCCATAGCAATAATAATAATAATCCAATTAATAAATGAGCAAGGACCTGAATGGTCATTTTGGTCCAAAGAAGACATCCAAAAACCATTGGCTAGCAATGGTTTTGATCAACCGAACCTGTGTTAGGATGGCTATTATCAAAAAGACAAGAGATAACAAAATCCTGGCGATGATGTGGAAAAAAGGGAACACTGTTGGGGGGGGACACAAACTGGTGCAGCCACTATGGAAAACAGTATGGAGGTTCTAGCCAGATGATCCAGCAATTCCACTTCTGGACATATATCAAAAAAAAAAAAAAAAGAAAAAGAAAAAGAAAGAAAGAAACTACTATTCCAAAGAGATATCTGCACTCCCATGTTCATTGCAGCATCCACAACAGCCAAGATACAGAAATACCCAAAGTGTCCCTCGCCAGATGAAGGGATAAAGAAAATGTGCATATACATGCAATGGAAGATTATTCACCCTTAAAAAAGAAGTAAATCCTGTTATGTGCAGCAACATGGATGAACCTGAAAGACACTACGCTAAGTAAAATAAAGCAGACAGAGAAAGACAAATGTTGTATGGTATCACTTATACAAGGAATATAAAAGACAGGAAAAAGAAGTCAAACTCATAGAAGCAGAGAGTAGAAAAGTGGTTGCCAGGTGCTGGGGGAAACTAAGGGCAAGTTGGTAAAAGGGTACAAAATTTCATATATAAGATGAAGATCTGTGGATCTAAAGCATAACATGGTGACTATAGTTAGTAACACTCTACTGTATAATTGAAATTTGCTAAGAGATTAGAACTAAAATGCTCTCATAAAAAACAAAGGATGGTAAATGTGGAGGTGATGGATGTGTTAATGAACTCGGTGGAGATAAACCTTTCCCAACGTATATCAATCAAATCATGATGCTGTGCACTTTAAGTGTCTTATAATTCTGTCAATTACAGCTCAGTAAAGGTGAAAAAAGTTTGCAATTTATATAACTTTAAGGCAAGGATTAAGAAATAAACCTTTAGGACTAGAATTCAATGTGGCTTTTTGAAAAGTATATTAATTATAAGGAAGCTGTGTGAATTGTATCTTGGCTTATTGCTTTTCATTGTTTATTGAATTGTCAGCACATTAAGCATGATACCTACAAAGGAGAGCAAGAAAGAAGGGCAAGATTTCCCACGTTCACATTTTGAGTCTTGTGTTTTTCAATTTTTACTTATTTATTTTGAGAGAGAGCGAGTGAGTGTGCATAAGAGAAGGAGGGGCAGAAAGAGAGAGAGAGAGAGAGAGAGAGAGAGAATCCCAAGCAGGCTCCATGCTGTCAGCGCAGAGCACATGGGGCTCAATCCCAGGAACCATGAAATCGTGACCTGAGCCAAAATTGAGTCGGACACTTAACCGACTGAATCATCCACCCACATTTTGAGTCTTATGCAAAAGTTATCTTCACCCTTTCACACAAGCTGACACTCTCAACTCTAGAGAAAGATGGCAAAACCGTAAGAATCTACCATCCTCATTTTACCTCCTACCTGTAACTACTTCTGAAAACTCCCTGCACAGAAAAAAGTCATTAACCCCAACAGAGTAGGAAATTCGCAATGTGTACAATTGCAGGGAGAGTTGGAGACTTCTAAAACTTCTAGTTTTCCATAAGTATTACATGGACTGTATAAGATGACTGGCTTTCCCCTGTCTTATGACCCCCAACATCTCACTGACCTTGACCAAAATTCTTTGATAAAATAGTTTACCTTCGCACACGTTCCACTTTGTCGTCTGTTCGTAAATATTTCTTGGCATTTTCTCCTTTGCCAAAGTTTGCACAGTCTTCTGGGTTGGCAAAAGCCTATTCCAAATACCAAGAAAAGAAACTTTGTTCAAATACCAAGTAACAGGGGAGTATTCTACCTGATAAGTTATTTGCATTTTAACAGAAAAAAGACAGGCCTCCAGATTGGCCCTTAGGAAAGAAAATTTGGAGCTCAAGCACAGGAAAGGGTCTATACTTAAATCTCCATTTTTATTAACAGTCAAAAAAAAACTTAAAAAAAAAGCATAAATACGAACTGAAATAAAAACCAATGTTTAAAAATAGCAAAAAGGAACCAAAAAGGGGGAAGAGAGTATAATTTTAAATCATCATGGGCTATTATTATGGCGAACTGGCATTTTTCATAGTGACGTTGATACAATTGCTCTCAGGAGTATTAACATTTCCAACTGATTGGCTCATAGTAAAGTCATAACTTTCATAGCCAAGGATGCTAGAGAACAGGCAAGAAGCGTAAAAGAGTGAGGGGCAGGAAATATATTTTGTACTCTGTTAGGCTATGTGTCTCTTTGCTTTTGCTGAATTAACACTTTGGGTTGAATAATATAGTGAAATATAAGAAGTTGAATTGCCTTCCTATAAATACCAAGTACATATTCTAGGGCATATGTTCATTTATTCCTTCCTGCAGTGATTATGCTCTTTGATATGATTTCCCCATCCCTTGAAACTTGAAAAATGCATTTAAGAAATATTTAAGTATGTTCCACTGCTTAATTATTTATAGTAAAGAAAACCATGAACTACAAAATTAGCTTGACTTAAGCTTACAAATCCATAAGTATTATCATACTTTTCTTAATATGACATAAGCATTTGTTTCAGATTAAGATGTTGCAGAGAACTGGTGAGAAAGGACATGATACAGTATCAGCTCTTGAGGTCATCACAGTCTGACATACACTAGATGTTCAATAAATATGTTTCAGATAAGTAACTAAATGTATTACAATGGAAAGTGCATGAGATTTGACTTTAAAGCAATCTGAATTAGAATCTCAGCATCACCCTTTATTGGTGCATAGCGTCTCTGATCTTCAGCTCCTCATCTGTAAAATGGGGAGACTAACCCTCATTTCACGTACTAATATGCACAATTATGTAAAATGATCCTATGATCTTACACATATAAGGAGCACCACACAGCGCCTGGTACATATCACCGGCGCTCCACAAATCTGAGTTCCTTTCTCCTTTTCTTACAAGACAGGGAACATTTCCGCTTTGCTGCATGCTACTATGTTTCTAGAAGACACCGTGGAGCTGGTGGTAGGCAGCCACCTTCCTGGTAGCTGCTCTAACACTCAGACCTATTAGAGACCTATTAGAGATGTAAACGTGTCTGTGTCTGCAGGCATTAAAATGCAAATGTCCTGGGAAGGAGTGATCCCTCAAGGCAGTAACAAGGAAACACCTTAAGGATGACTGTGAGTTCTCAACCAAAGCAAGTGTCTGGAGGACAAAACTGGGGACACACACTACTTCCAGGAAGTAGTGGCCGATGAGGGACAACATCAACGAAAATGGTTTACCTTTGTCACGGTAGCTTTGCTCTACTCCCCTTACTGTGTTAGAAATTCTGCTTGAGTACAGGATATACGTTCCAGAATCTTCCTACCACTTTCCCCAACTCTCCACTTTAGGGAAAAAATCACATTCTTATAATGCCAGGCAGAAATAGCATCCATTTAAGAAGTTGGAGCTACACAGAATTCAAATGCCTTGTCCCAATCATAAAAGACTCTATTGGTAATCAGAAGAACTTAATTCTGTCCCCAAAAGTATATTCTTCACCTGTCACAGAACTGAAAACACCAGTTAACTGTCTGGAAAATGACTATTTTCTAAACTCTAGTGGGCAAAATTAACTTCAAAATCTCAGAATGTTTCCTTGAAAACTTTGATACTCCAAGAATCTCATATACTAGGCAGCATGACAAAAGGTAAAAGCCACAATGAAAGAAACCACTTAGTAGTTTCCAGGAGAAAGTGCCTGTTCTATAAATATATCAGATGTATCTGTAACAATGATTGCATAATACATTTGCAACATCAAACAATGTGCCATTGGGGTTTACCAGAAAAAAAAAGTCAAGAAAACTGATTTTCCAAAATTTCAACTCTTAAAGGAAAATATTGCCCCCCAAAGGTCTTACCTTTGTTCTGAATCTAAAGAATGCAGTTGCTGTACTCATAAGCATCATTTTTGAAAGAATAATCGTTGTATAGGAAGCAAAGGCCATGAATACTTCATTTTCCATTAGTTCAGTGAGGTCAACCATTTTTTCAATTTTGATCTGGAATCTTAAAAAGATTTTACACGGCAGACATAAATACCCCCAAAAACTTGACGGTCACTTGATGTCCTTACATTGCAGCATTATTGTTCATAAAAAATATCCTGGATTTATTCACAGAAGAAATAATCTTTTTTCAGTTTCAAAATAAAAAGTATTCTTTTTTTTCTAGTTCTGTAACATTAAGCTTGAAGATATCAAACAAGCACGGAGCAAAAATGAAAATGCAGGGGTATGAGAAGCAAAGATAAATGGGCAAAATGCTATAAAGAGAAACTAAAATCATATTTTTGCATCAAGATAAGCCACAAGCTGGACCCAAAAGACCAGAGTTCATGAATTGATCTCATTCAGAACATCAAATTATGTACATGGTAGCACTATTAATGTTTGATCGGGAATGCCTAAATTCTAATATATGTCCTGCTTTAGAAACCCAGCTTATAGCTTTTTGTCATTTCAATAGTGTTTACTATCCCAGGCTACAAGATTTAAGTTCTAGTCCCACCATTTGGTATTTACTTTGGTTCAGAGATTCAGCCTCTCTGAAACTAAATTTCTTCATTTATACGATGGCGATTATAACAGCTCCTAACTTACCGGTTTGTTGCCAGGATTTAATTGAGATAGCACGTGGAATATACTTAGCCTAGCACCTGGCCCATGAAACACCCTCAGCAAAGTTTATTATATCGTTATGATCATCATTATCAGCGCGATTATAGTCCCCATCAATACCAACACAAGTGAAGAAGAAGCAGGATATTAGGAACAAAATGCTAGGTAGGCACATGCAAAGTAAGGAATTGGTATTGATGGTACTTTCATAGAAGGAATAAGGGAAGGAGGGTTATCTTTTTAATTTAATTTTTTAATTTTATTTTTGAGAGAGAGAGTGAACACACAAGTGGGGAGGGACAGAGAAAGAGAAGGACTGAGGATCCTCACTGACAGCAGGGAGCGCGACACGGGGCTCGAACTCATGAACCGTGAGATTCTGACCTGAGCCAAAGCTGGACGTTCCACCAACTGAGCCACCCAGGCGCCCCAGGAAGATCATCTTTACAGAACTCTTCAGGTTACTTCACATTCCAGTGAATGTAACCATCTGTCTGGAGTTGGAAGTATAATTGCGAATGTACTCAGAAGGGGAGCTAAGATAGACCAGTGATACTGAAGTCAAAGTGGGTAGGATGAAGTAAAGCTGCAGATTGAAATTCCCTACCCCGTCTGGTAGCCGTTCCTTTTCATGTCTTCTCTTTCTATCATCAGCCTCGCTATCTGCTTCTTCTGTCTCTTCCACGTAAACACTCCTCTTTTCTCATATCCATGCTCGGCACGTAGTGCCGTCTCTTGTACACAATGTCCACTCCTGCCTTTAAAACTCAACCCCTGCATGCAACCTTATTAGAGTGACGCCTACCTAATTCTGATCCTTCTATCCACCTACCAATAATCTATAAATCTATATCTCTTTCTATACAATGCTACAGGTTCTATTGTTGTCCATGCATTGCTGTTAGCGTGACCTAAACATACATATACATTCAATTATATAAGAGCTCACTACGTGTCCAACTCTGCCATGTACTTTATATGCATTATTTAATCTTTGTAACCATACTATTACAATCCTCATAACTATATCCATTTTACAGACGAAGAAAATGTGAACCCAAGATGTTAAGCAACCAAACTAGGACACAAACCCATGCCTATGACTTCATATCTTGTACACTAACTACACTGTACTGTCTCCTCCAAGAGACTGCAAACTGCTGGGGCATCTGGGTGGCTCAGTCGGTGAAGCGTCCCACTTCAGCTCAGGTCATGATCTCGCGGTTCACGAGTTTGAGCCCTGCTTGGGGCTCTGTGCTGACAGCGCAGAACCTAGAGCCTGCTTGGGATTCTCTCTCTCTCCCTCTCTCTCTGCTCCTCCCCAGCTCGCTCTCTGTATGTCTCTCTCAAAAATAAACATTAAAAATTTTTTTTAAAAAAGAGACTGCAAAGTGCTTAATTCTCATTCAGCTCACATTGAAAGCCTGCTCTGTGGTTCGCCCTTTCGTCTGTTACCTTGTTTCCTCTTCCACTGACGCTACAGGTAGGTACTCTCACTCCCATTTTTCAGATAAAGAAAACAAAACTTCCCAAGTAACCACCATTTTACAGAGTAGGCTGAAAATGTACTTTTGGATTTAAGCAAACAGAAACTGTACGTCCCTGATTAAAAAGCAAAACCAAATGCATACGATAAACTAATCCACCTCCACAAGTCAGTTAGTCTTGAAAGCACACGATGTTATATAAGCTCTCAGTGCAAGATACACTTTTAGTACCACTTAACATATGTGCTCTTGTTCTAGTAGTGAGGGCGGGTGGGGGAGGAAGTCATGAATAAACTGCACTATCCTTCAGAGTTCATGTAATTAGCTTAATCAGGGATCCCTAAGCCTCCGGACAGAGATCTGAAGACACACAGCAGGAATATTAATTTTTTAAAAAATTAAGAAAAGTTTATCAAGTAGGAATTGTTGTTATTTAACAATCATTTTACAACTAAAACAGTTTCTGTAGGTCTCTATGAACGTTTGCAAAATAAAATTTATTTGGCAGTAGCATAAAAACGCAGAGAATGGTTTTCCTTTTGTGAACATTGATATTGAAAAAGGAGAGGGGCGCCTGGGTGGCTCAGCTGGTTAAGCGCCTGACTTCGGCTCAGGTCATGATCTCACAGCTCATGGGTTCGAGCCCCACATTGGGCTCTGTGCTGACAGCTAGCTCAGAGCCTGGAGCCTGCTTCAGATTCTGTGTCTCCCTCTCTCCCTGCCCGTCCCCTGCTCACACTGTCTCTCTCAAAAATAAATAAACATTAAAAACAATTTTTTTGAGAAAAAGTGGAAGTCTTCCAGAACAGCTGGTGGTAAAGCACACAAAGGTGCCAGCAGTTGGAGGGAAAGGGCAATGCGAGGCTTGTTCTTTAAATGTGAACAACACATTGAAAGTGCACCTCACCACACTAAGAATGTGGCTGAACTTCTCTGGTCTGTGGTGTGGGGAAGCGGGCCCATGCTAAGCCTCTGATTTCACACCACAAACCACCTCTCAGAGACCTGAGGGCCAGGTAAGGAGTAATGAACGTAAGACATTAAGCAACAGAGAAGTGATTTATAGCATGGAATAAAATGATGCCGGGCCAGACTTTTTTTCAAAGCTGATTTGTTCATAACTTGCCTTGAGCCTACATCACGGCTGGGCACTGTAGTCAAAATGCAATTACTGAAAGCTTTTTACTGGAAAAGGTGGTCAGGAGGGAGGAGAACAGTATAGTAGTACTCCTAATTAAGAGTAAAATGTTAGGTGTTTTGAGTATTCTAGGAGTGAAGTATGAATCATCTAAGAAAAGACAAAACATGCACGTTGGCTATGAATTATAGAAAATAAACTTTTACGGCCTGGGTGCCTCGGTCCATTAAACGTCCGACTCTTGATTTCGGATTAGGTCATGATCTCACGGCTCATGGGATCAAGCCCCACATGGGCGCTACGCTGCCGGTGCGGGCCCTGCTTGGGATTCTCTCTCTCTGCTTCTCTCTGTCCCTCCCCTGCTCTCTATCTTAATATAAATAAATGAACATTAAAAAAAGAAAAGAAAGTATTACAATGATGAATCATATCTGTACAGTGTATCTGTCCATCACATCTGTGCTGTGGTCGGCACAGCAGAGGATACCTCCATCCTTCTCGCTAGAGAGTAGGGCTCAGTCCCCTGAGGTGGAGGTGACTGCCTCTAAAGGGACAGAGAGCAGAGTGTTGAGCACACAGAGACTCTGGAACTAGACTAGGGTCAGGTGAATTTCATTCTGCCACCCTCTGTTGGGATTTAACTTCTCAGAGACTTACTTACCTTACCTGTTAATGAGGTTAGTAATACTTCCTTTCTCACAGGATTCTTGTGAATATCGAATGAGTAAAGAAAGTATAAGGAGCTTAGAAAAGCACTGGGGCCTAGTAAGTAAGTGATCTATAAGCATTTGGTAAATAAGTTCCTACTTCGGCACTGTCCTAAGCACTGAGGAGATTAACTTTTAGAGTTTTCGAAAAGCTTTCACATTATCTCACTGGATCTAGAAAACTCTAAGGTGGTCGGAGCAAGTAATATTTGTCTCTGCCTTCAACGTATAAGGAAACTGAGGCCTGGAGAGGTAGAGTGAGTAATCTGACCCAGATTTACAGTAGAGGGACCAAGACTGGCTAGAATCCAGTTTTCTCAAGTGTTCAGCTCATGGGCTATTCACCATCAAGGCAAAGAATTCTAGACTCCTCTGGTTTTCTGGGGGCCTTTTTCTGCCCAATCTCATCTTTTTATCTTGCCCTCCTCACCCAACACATGCCTACTCCCACTGTATCTATTACAGTTGAGTCTTTGTCTCTCAACTGTGGACTAATCCTCTTCGCTTTACTGGCTCGTGGCCAAAAAGGACAAAGTTCTCTTCTTATTTATGGTGGCCTTGCAACATCGATGTTATGAAACACACAAAAAACCTGGGCACACATCCCCAGAGCCATGACTCTGCAATTTTACGCCTCCTAAAACAAATAGAACGCTACCACAAGATAAAGAGAAAAGATAATTCAGTGGCCTTTTTGCTGGTTATCAGTTCTAGAATTTCCTGAACGGGTTGAGGCCATTGCAGCCCTGGAGTCTTAGACTTCAGAACCCAGGTGCCAGGAGGAATACGCAGGAGTGGAGGGTCGGGGGGGGTGGTGGATCTGGGTGGATGTGGGGTAAGGCTGTTCTCAGGGGCCAGTGCTGACCTCCCTTGCCAGCCTCAGCGATGAATAAAGTCCGCTCTCAAACAAACCCTTAGAAAAACTGTACTTGTCCGCCACAGAGACAAATATTCACATTTGGACTATTTGTCATTTTAAAACAGTGACCAAAGATGGCCCACGCACATAGTCCTCTTACTCTGGAAACAGCACAGGACCCCAAACCCTATTACTACCCTAACCCCCAGGACAGGAAGCCGCTGGGGGAGGCAGAAGGTGTGTGTAGCTTTGCACACAGGCGAGCTAACGCCCTGAGAACTCTAGTCCTAAATGGCTGAAGGGCTGTAACCTGAGGGTCCCGGGGAAGTTTCCATCTGCCTGTACAACAATCTTGATTACAACCCACCAGGCATTCCCGCATTCCCTCAGAGAGAAAACCGGCAGAAGGCAAAGGAGAAAAGAAGAGAGTGCCCAGCCTACCAAGAGGCCTTGGGGTTATTTCAAAGGAAACCAGGAGGCAGGAGGTTTACACACCCCCGTGTCTCCACCGCTCCAGTCCGGCCACAGCAATGATACCTGAGGCCTTAACCCCAAATAAGAGTTTCCCATGGCTTCCTCCTCCAGGCTGGGGGACTGGCTATACTATCACAAAGTTTAATCTGTGTCCTGTGCACCTCCGTTTTACTCCCCCAAAGCTCCAGGGGCCCATTCAAAGCGGCCGCTCCTCCGGCCGGAGAATAACACGTGAGTCACCCCCCACTTAAGTGCAAGAAAGACTGACTCTCTCAAGTTTCCTTCCCGGAGCCTGACATGGGGGACACTCACCTCCGCGGCTGCAGGCACTCAGTCCCCTTCCAGATGTGATGGAAGGAAAAGCCAGCGAGCGCGGAGCTGCTGAACGGAGCAGAGAAGCCTCACGCGCGCGAAGACCTCCGCAGCCCCCCGCCCGCCTCCCGCCACGCTCGTGCCCGCCCACCACGCTCCCGGGGCCCTTCCCTTCCGCACCCGCTCCCCGCACGCCCAGAGAACCCCAGGAGGGGTCCCGCCACCCACCGGTCCCCAGCGGGCGGGTCGGGCGGACGCGACGGCGGGGAGGCGCCCTGCCCGCTCTGCTCGGTGCCGGCGCTCGCGCTGCGCTCCACAAGTAGGACTCCGGCCCGCGAAGCGCCTCCCCCATCACCCGATTTTTGTGTGCCGGCGGGGGGAGCCGCCCGCCCCCTCTGGGACCTCCCCTCCGATGGGTGCGGGCAGAAGCCCGGCTCCCCGCGCTGTGGCCCCTCCTCAGTGGGCGCGGGTGTGGGCGGTCAGCGGAGGGCCTCGGTCTCCCTGGACTTGCCCAGAGCGGAGACGAAGGCGAGGAGAAGGCGGGCGACTCCTACTTGGCCGCACACAGTTTGGAAAGGTTTTTTTTTTTTTTTTTTTTTTTTTTT